CAAAAACTTTATAAGCGGTGTGTCAAGCCCCTGGTTTGACATGAATCGGTGGGGAACAGGAAAGGAGCAGCCAGCGGCCAGCCAATGTCCGTATGCTGCCCCGGGGTGCAGCCTGACTTCTGTGGACCAGCTGGGAGTCGGCGAGGCCGCCTTGCACCGCGGCCGCCTCCCTCCATTGCCATGGACGCCAGGGAAGTCCCTACAGCCGGCTGAGCATCACAGGCATACCAGCTGGACGCCGGAGGGACCGCCTCTTGCTTCAGCCACCCCTCGCGCAGGGGGAGTCACGAAAATCAGCTGGGTGTCGGTGGCAAGTCAGATGCCGGAGGAACTGCCTCCCACTGCGGCTGCCTCTCCCTCTCGCCAGGTGCCGGGGGAAATCCCCAGAAGCCAGCTGAGTGGCAGAGATGACTGGCTGGATGTGGAGGGTCGTCTCTTTTCCTCACCACCCCTCCTGTGATGCTGGTGGTCAGGGGAGGCTGTCGGTTGCCGGGGGAGCTATGGCCTTATAGAAGAGCGTGGAGTCTCAGTTCCTAAGACCATCGGAAATATGTGTTTTCCGATGGTCTTAGGCGACCCCTGTGAAAGGATCATTCAACCCCCAAAAGGGGTCGCAACCCACAGGTTGAGAACCGCTGCAATACATGAAACCATTCTTTCAGCTTGTGATAAAATAAGACCAAGATGCCATCTTAGATACATAAACCCAAACTTTGACTACAACCAAAGAACTAAAAATGCAGAAGATAACAGAAGAAGTGGAACAATCAAATATTAAGACAGAGGACTTAATTGACCAACAAATACAGTTAATGGAAAATCCAGAAAAAGGGAATGACAACACTGAAAATAGAAAAGACTTTCTATATAAATCAGAAGAAATTTGAGAAAGAAGAAGAACAGATTGAATGGAAGATAACGTATCAGGGCAATCATGGGGAATTGGAATAATAGGGAGACAACTTAATGAATACAAATGGGCTAGTCCTTCCAAAAAATGACAATTAAATGGTCTTCTTTATTTCAAATAACATATATAATAATAATAGAGGGAGATCTATTTGACGATCTAAAAGCACTGATATGGAAGCCTAGTTGGCAAAGGAAGAAAGTCAGAATAAGGCTGAAGAAAATTGGGGTTTTGATTTATTAGAGGGGATTCCAGATTATTAATTAGAGGGTTAAAGGGAGAAGTTGAGATAAGGGAAATTCTGGTCATTAGATTTAAATATTTGGAAATTAGTTGAAAATAAGGATTTTATCTGTTTAATATTTAAAAATTAGACCTAAAAGAAAAAAAATATTATGAATGTTTGATTTATTGATTAACCCAGGTAATATATATAATGGTTTTGATTTATTAAAGGGGATATTGTATTATTAAGTAAATGATTTTGATATGGTGGAAAATAGATAACTTTTAGAAAATAGAACAAGATTATATTCAAATACATAAAATGTGTATTTTGGATATTAGATTCTGTTATGAATTGAGATAAGGGAAATCTTGGTTACATAAAACCTGAAAAATATAAATATCAAAGGTTAAATTGGAATATTGATGGGAAAATAAAAAAATGGGGAAAATTAATAACAGGATATGAATTGTTTATGAAGATTGAATGTAAAAAATAATTAAGATACGTATAAGCTAAAATGTATTGATAAATGTAATAATGATGTTTTTACTGAGTTGATATAATAAGAATTGTATTAGCTTTTTGTACTTTTACCCATAAGTGTTCATAAGTATTCTTAGACAATTTTCCATTAGATGTTGTGATATATACTCCTAAATACTTAACCTTATTAACTACTTCATAACCTGTTTCTTCAGCTATAATATATTTTCCCTTCATAGACATATTTTTCAATAATATTTTAGTTTTATTCTTATTCACCTTAAAACCAGAGACCTGTCCATACTGTGCTAAAATTTCAACCAAGTCTCTGACCGAATCTGTTGGGTGGGATAACGTCACAACCAAATCATCAGCAAAAGCTCTCAGCTATAATCAATCTTACTTATTTTTATTCCTTTTAATCTAGATGAGTCTCGAATTTTAATAAGTAAAATCTCCATTGTTAATACAAATAGCAAGGGGGATAAGGGACAACCCTGTCTCATACCTTTTTCTATTTTAAATACATCTGTTAATCCCCCATTAATTATAATTTGTGCCGATTGTTGCTGATATATGGCCTTGAGAGCACACAAAAATTTGTCTCCAAAGTTCATTTCCTCTACGACTTTCAATAAAAATTTCCAGTCTAATTGATCAAAAGCTTTCTCGGCTTTTAAAAGCAGCAGGGATTTGGTTGTTATTATCCAAATACTCTATTAAATTAACAATTTGTCTTACATTATATTTCATATATCTTCCCATTATAAATCCAGATTGGTCAGTATGAATCAATTGTTTCAAAACCTGCATTAATCTATTTGCCAGTATCTTTGCAAAAATCTTATAATCTGTGTTTAAAAGAGATATAGTACAAAAAGATTTAAATCGTTGGCAAAAATTACAACTATCGTTGCTGGGGAGAATTTCAGCAGTAAAAATGAATGTTCTACCAAAGTTTCTTTTTTTGTTTCAGATGATACCTATTTTAAAAAAGGATGCTAATTTGGATGAGTGGCAGAAAGGTATCAATAAATTTATCTGGGGTGGGAAGAAATCAAGGGTAAAGTTTAAGATTTTACAAGACACTCAAGAAAGAGGTGGACTTAAAGCACCTAATTTGAAATTATATTATGATGCAGCCACTTTAACTTTAGTAAGTGATTGGCTTAATTTAACAAATAAAAATATTCTTGGTCTTGAAGGTTTGGATTTATTATATGGTTGGCATGCATATTTAATTTTTGATAAGAAAGTAGATCTGGTTTTTAAGTCACACATTTTAAGAAATGCTTTACTTTGAGTCTGGAAGAAGTATTATTATAAGTTAAATTATAAAATACCCATTTGGGGGATTCCTGGACAAGCAATTCAGGGGGTTTCTAAGGGGGTGAATTTTGATAATATTTCTTATAAAGAATTACTTATTTGGTCGGGTACTGATTGGCAACTAAAGTCTTCAGATTTGTTAAGGCAAGAAAATATTTTACAATCATGGTTTCAATATTTGCAAATAGTGGAGAGGTGGACTTTAGATAAGAAAGTGGGAATCACTTTAGCAGATGAAAATTTGGTAATTAAGATTAAAGAACAGAAATATCCTCATATTAAAAGAATTTACAATGAGTTAATAGAACTGGATTCGGAAACAGAGTTAGTAAAAGATTGTATGATTAAATGGGCCCAGAATATTCAGGAACCGATTTCATTGGATTTATGGGAGTTAATCTGGATTAGAAATATTAAATTTACGCAGGCTCAAAATTTGAGGGAAAATTTTTATAAAATGTTTTATAGATAGCATCTGGATCCTAAAAAGTTGTCTTGTATGTACCTGAACCTGTTACAGACTATAATTCCTTCATTTCTTTTGCTTTATAATTTAAACAGTCCAATTGGCTTTGTTTATTTCAAAGCCACAGAGCCAAGTAATTGACTTATTACTGACATAGTGACAGGTGATATCTACTAAATTCAAATGAATTATTCAATGAAGTCAGTTGCTATCAGTTTTTTAAAGTAATAATCCCATGTGTGCTGGTAAAAGCAATTACCAGTTAAATGTTCATTCCTGAATATCTCAAAGCTGGGCTGAAAAAGTAGGGAATCTCAAATTATTTCTATGTATAAACAGTAGCTTTAATATATCTTTGGTCCATTTTATATCAGTGTACTTCACTTACAGAAAAAGCTCAAACATTTCATATAATTGGATGAATAATTACAAGAATTCACTGAAATGAATAAATAGTACACTTCAGTAAGAAGTTATTATGGATAACAGCATTAAGATATATATTCTAGAGCCAGAGACTTGACTGAAAGGGATTGTCCTGAAATAATGCCTTATAACATTTTATCAAGATTATGCTGGAATCAGGAATGAGGAGACAATAGTGGATCCTCCATTCAGGAGCTAGAACATATGTTCATACATATGTATCTATATGCATATGCAAAGCACACTTATTAATTACAGATTTCAGTATGAAGGTTCTGCACAGAGATTCTTCAATAAAAATATCAGCTAATAACATTAAATTTAGGACACACAGTTGGTACAAGAAGAGATGAAAGAACCAAGCAGGAAAAGCAATACAGACAGTTTTGTCACACTTTTTCACCAATACAACATACTTCAGTTCACATCTTATACCTTATTGTCTTGGGTTCTCCTCATAATTAAGATAATCTTAAAACTCTTGAAAACTCTGAGAAATTTAAAATATATGCATTATATAAATATATACAAACAAGTCTATGTAAATTACTCATCTTAAAACAGCCCCATTTTCCTTTCTTTCTCCCTCCAAAAAACCAAATTCCAGTTCATTTTCCAAATCAAATATTTCCCAAAACAGGCTAGATAACACATCAATGCCCATTTATGTAAAGCAAATACCAATTACAACAATAACAGCAAAACAAGACTGAATGCTACAACCAATGCATCTATTGGTTATATTATTATGGAAATTAAATGGAGAATTGTTTAGTTTTGATTAGAATCTGGTTCTGGAAAAGTTTATAGGTATTATAAGATATGCATCAGAATTTGTGGGCAAATTGCCATATTTCACTGCTCTGGGGTATTTCAGGTTAGGTTTTGAAGTAAGCCTTTTAGAAATGAGTTAATATCTATGTTGCAAATATCAAATATCATTTGTTCAAAATCTTAAATCTCTGAAAGTGCTTCACCGATTGCTTTGAAATTTTGACACAACGTTGCATTCGAATACATGTGTGTTTTTATATACCTATATTATATAGATGTCACACATGTGACAGGTAAAAACATGCTTTTTTGAAAAACAGATAAAAACATGCTTTTTTGAAAAACAGCGCCATCTGTTGGACATAATCTCTATATCTGCACACACAATGGAACAACAAAAAATATTGTATACCCACAAGCATTGTGAAATTAAACATATTACAAATGTGCGCTTTCTCTTTTCTTTCTTTTCCATTTAACCAGACTGAGCCACAGCAACCGTAGAGCTAGTTCTGAAATAATTATTTAGAGTCAGGGAGAGCTAAGTGTTTCAGAACAAGCATAGTAGAAATATTTATCCTGCATCAAATTAAATGTGGATGTTAATACAGATTTTTTTCTGTATCTGTATGGATACAGAAGATTTGCTATAGCCAAGCACTAGTACTGTTAAGACATTAAATATAGGTATGAAAGAAAGCACATGGGTTATGTTGTATAAAAACAGATTTGTTTTCTTTAGAGAATATAGGTTGGTATCTTTTATTTTCAATCATGAATCGTCTTTTCATGCAAACTCTACACTCTTATCCACACATGAGAATTCAAGGAATTACTCTGCTAATTAAGAGGAACTAATGTTAAGAGGTAATAATGTTAACAGATTATTTTTAACTCACTTTTAGTCTTCATAATAGTAGGGTTTTTTTTTTTACAGGTATGAGAAATTTATTTCACAAGTCTTATTCAAAATTGCACAAATTCATTTAGGCTAAAAAAAATCCTAGCAATATAATTATATATTCCTTGGTTTAATCAAATGTTGGATAATATTCTGAGATTAAGTTTTCATTTAACATTTACAAATATTTTATTAGCACTAATGCTGTATGTTAACACAGATCTTTCTTAGGACTGCTTTTGCTTTGCAGTGTCCAGTAACAATCAATATTGTAATTCCAGTCATATTCGAACAGTGAAGATTGTAAATCTCCCTTGGAATGCTATGATAAGAGAGCGCTGTTTGAAATATATTCTAATTTTGATATAAATTCAGAGTTCATTAACATATAATAGCAAGTGTTGCTTGAAAAATCATGCTGACTAGTTGAATAAAAGTCAATTGATCCTAGTCACAATTTTATTAAGAATTTCTTGCATTGTGAAACCAACCTATCAGATGCAAACACAGAATACAATATATCCTCTATCAGAACTATGCAGTGCTTTAGCATCAGTACCAAAAAACTGCTCCACAGTGTTTGGTGGCACAAATGTTGTCTTCAACTTTTTAAACCAGCTGCATTTTTTTCCAGGATTGTATATCTGTCTTTTTCTTGAAACATATTTGTCTGCTCTTAAGAATTTTATACAGTTAGTACATTTGCACCATATGCCCAGAGTAAAAAAATTCAAATCAAATTTAAGTGCCTCACAGCTCCAGTTTTATATTTCTGAAATGTCTGCAGAGTCAATCAACCCAGGCCATTTAAAAAAACTTTGCTGAACAGGAATAGTTGTAATGGGGAAATGTTTAGACAAATCATTCTTAATCTGAATTTTCTAATGTATTATGCTACAATTCCCAGAATTCATAGTTAACAACATTCCCTACTTTAATCCAACAAATTTGAGAGTGCCAAATTGAGAAAAGCTATCTTAGGATTTTCCAGTGAATTTATACTAGAATCAGGACAAAGAACTGATATCTATGCCCCTATTCCCTTAAGCAGATTAAAGCATGAGCAAACAAACAGGAACATTTTGTAGCAGCCAAGAGATACTCTGGAGATATTGCATCTCAGTCTGTTGATCATGATCATCGTGTGATTTTAATCTTTGGTATGGATACTAAGTGGCCCAAAAGAGAAGGGCTTGCAGAGGTTTCAAATGGGGCATCTGTAAACATAGATTTGACTTTTGTCCATCACAGCCTTCCCCTTCAAGGAAAGCAGATGCCCAAACAGAGCAGTACTAACCAATTTTCTAACAGGTATGCATTTGACCAGATCTGTCCTAACCTTAAGTTGTCTTCTTTCAAAACCATATCATGCTGAAAATCCTGTGCTTTCAATAAAATCCTGTTGCTTATTCTACAGAATGAATGTGGAATGGATGAGATAATGGGAAATAAGCGTTGCTTTTCTCAAAATAAGAATCAAAGCTATACCATTCCTTCCCTGCACGTATAGCTAAAAATATATATTCTATTGAGAAATGTAGGTAAATGCTAAATATTGAAAGTAACTGACCTTACCCTAAGCCGTGTGCCTATGACTGAATTAAAGTTTTACTATATCAAAATAGAGAAAAAAATATTAATTATAATAGAATTACAACATATTTTAGTAATAATCTTCCCAATTAAAAATGTTTTGATTCACCATGACATGAATTATTTTCATTCCCACTTCAACTGAACATATAGTACTTTTACTTTGCATAGAAAATCCAAGAAAAGAAGTGTCTACATGAGCACTTTTTTAAATATACTGTCTATATAGTGTATTTACTGATCTGACTGAACTCTGGAGTTAGAAGCATGCAATGAAAACACTACACACTGTCTTGTTTAAGCCAAAATTAGCTGTCAGTTTCCCCATGGACATTTTCCATGTGTACTTTGAGGTAGTCATTTCTTGTAAACTTTTTGTGGCATAGCTGGCATTCAGCCATGGGCCGATTGGGATTGTGAGTCAGCTTGTGCCGGATTAGCATTTTCTTGAGGCTGAATGACAAATCGCAAACCTAAAATGGAGGGGTAAAAAAAAAGGAGCAAAAATCAAAACAAAATCATTAATTGCTAAACACTCATATATAGATCTACCAGTACCTAACATTATGAGTAATGCTGAATAACCAAATGACCATCTTTTATGTCATTACTGAAATTGAGACATTTTAAATTGTTTTCATCTAAGGATTTCTAGCTAGACTGATGTAAACTGCAACTTTTACATATACATTTGATTTAATTTATTATGTTATACAAGGCAGTCCGTTACCAAATAAATACACATAAAATAAAAATGAACAATTCACCAATCAAAAAAAGAAAAAAAACTGGAACACAACAAATAACAACACCGAAAAACAAAGTCTGTAATTACAAACATACTCCAAATTCATTTGATTTTATAAATCTCTGAAAAAGGAAACCTGTTTCACTAAAATCTTACAGCTAGTAATTCATGTTCATTTATATTAACCAAAAATTTCATGCAAGGAAGTGAAGAGAGATGACTTCTCCCATTGCTAAAGAAGGAAGGAAATCTTTTTCTGACATGAAAATATAGACTATAAACATCACTTGATTTTGGGGCTGCCATCAAGATCTTGTCCTCCTGTCTGAAGGCTTTCAGAGGCTGAATGAAGAAAAACAAGTTTTGGTTTAACCCCGGTAAGATCACATGCCTATGGATTGTGGGGGGGGGGGCAGCTCCTGGTATAGGATTTTCTATTTTTTAGTTCTGGAGGGGAAAGCACTTCTTAGGGGGTCTTCTTGGACTCTCAATTCCTGCTTAAATGAGCAGGCAGCAGCCATGCCGAAGGACCTTCATGCAAATCCATTTGTGATCATTCTGGATGAGGAAGCCCCCATTCATGATCAAGAACTGATCTGGGAAACTTTGAGGCATGAAAATAATTAGTTCAGTTAATCACAGTGATTCTATGATTTAATATTTAATTCCATACTTTATCCTACTATCTTTTGAGATTAAAAAGATTTTCACATGGTACAGAAGTAGTGAGGTAGAAGTACTATTAAACATATTGACTGAAGCTAAAATTAAGAACTTGATTAAAAAAAATTAAAAACTTGTACCTAACACTGGATGCCAAGATATAGATTTTAGAAAATTGTTCCCCTAAAGATGTAAAAGAGAGGCATTTGTTTCTAGCACACAGGTATTCCTCAACATAACGACTATTCATTCAACAACTATTCAAAATTATGATGGTGCTGAATGAAAGAAGTTATGATCTGCATCTGAAGTTACAGTTGTTGCTGTATCCCCACAGTCACATGATCACAATTCAAATGCTTGGCAATCAGCCTGTCCTTATGATTGACCAGAGACACTGTAACTGTCTCCCCTTACCTGTAACTGTCCCCCCTTGCCTATCAGTCCCTAGGGCCTGATTCCTGCCTGGCTGGGTCCACAGGATTTGGTCCTTCTTCAACCCAGTGAAGACACACACTCTTGGGCCTCCTCTCTGCCCTGTCATGCCTTTCTTCACTTACCTCTTCCAAAGATTGTTTTTCTGAAAGAGAATCAGCCAAAGTGCTGCACAGCCTTCCTATACAAAATGATGCCCAATTCCAAGAAGGAAAGAAACAACTTCTGTATAAAAAGGCTACATGGTGCATTAGCTAAGGCAATTTTCAGAAATCCGCCTTTCCAAAAGAAAATAAACCAATATGATGCATGGCCTTTTATAGAGGCCACCTTGGGCCATTGTGGAAGTGGATATCATTTTCATAATCTCTCAGAATCTCTTTTTTAGGAGATTGTGAGAATGGTGCCCACTTCTGGGATGGCTCGAGGTGGCTTCTGCAGGAAAGCTGCATGTTGCAGTGAGTGGGTGTTCTTTTGAAAAGGCAATCTTCAAAAGAGGCAAGTAGAGCAAAACCTGACAGTGAGGAGACTCCAAAATGTGGGAACCAGTGAGAACAAGTTATGCAAGGAATACCTCAGAGATGTTGTCTGAGCCTGCACCAGGCTTCCCAGGGCCTCCCTTAAGCTCTGAGGCATTCTATGCTCAGTTTAATGATGCACATGTTCATTTAACAATCACAACAAATAGAGCCAGGACTGTGGTCATTAAGTAAGGCAATCATGTGAATGCCTTGCTTAAGGACTTACAACCATAATTATGGGCCCAATTGTGGCTGTAAATAAAGGACTGCCTTATAAACATAAATGTATGAACATTAAGGTAGTTCTGCAATACACAATGAGCAATTTTGCATAATGTAATTTCCTGTTCTATATCTGAAACATAAATACAAATACAGATCTGATTTCATTAGCCAAACCTCAAAATTATTGTGTTCTTTAATTCAATGAGATTCTTCTTGATGATTTTTTTTAAATTGATGATTCTGTAGCACAGGGGTCCCCAAGCCATAGGCCACGGCCCACTACCGGGCCTTAAGCCTTTCGGAACTGGGCAGCAGAAGTGTGCACGAGATCCATTTGTCCGAGTGGTGTGTGCGTGTGCCTGCACACATGCAGAACCATCCCCTGCCAGTCCGCAAAGCCAAAAGGTTGAGGAACTCTGCTGTAGTGCTTATAATTTTTACAGGGACAGATTACTAGCCCTAAATAAAATCTGATCCTCATCATCTATATCACTGAATCTTAAATTCCCATTTGCTTGCCTCTATAGTGATCCCAACAGCTATTTATGCCAGCGAAACGTGGAAGGCATCAGCAGTATTAACAAGAGACTTGACATCTTCCAATAAAGATGCCTTCGCCGAATCCTAAATTTCACTATTTCGACCATATTACTAACAAAAAAGTGCTCCAAAAGAATGTCTCTTGTAAATTACATAAATTGTCACATGTGGAAGAGTCCAACTCACACATCATAATCTCTGCATGGAGAACATTCCCAAGATGGCAATGAATGGACCCCCCCAGATGCCAAATGACCACGAGGTTGCCCTTGAAATATATGGTGAAGTAAAATCATGGAAGACTTAAAGATCTAAACATCACATGTGAAGAGGCTGAAGTACCCACTCAAAACCAAAATTGTTGGAGATCCCTTTCTCCCCAATATTCTACATGGCATGGGAGGATCTAATGCTAAAAAAATAATAATTCAGTGATGGATGACTATTATATAAACAAATACAGACCAATATATATCACCTTCAGCCATATATAGGTTCAGAAACTGGGTGTATATTAATCTGTTTAATATTAGGAATATGTCATCTTCCCAATGTTGATATTTTCAATATAGTCGAATGTACCATGTGAACGATTAGACCATACTGATTTCCATACATAAATGGAAACTCTTAAATTTCCCTTTTATTAAAATCATGAAGCTATAACTCCTACAAATAAATATACAAAATTCAGTAAATATTACACAATCATATTTGCATATATATGTATGTATGAACATCACAGATGCCTCATTTATTTTACTGGAAATCATTTAAGAATGCCATTCCAGCAGATGGTTTTGTCAAATTCTGCTACTAGTAAGCAGTCTTTAATGACTTTCAATCACACAGTGATAACAGTTTAACAATAATGCATTATCTTTTCAAAACAGGAAGAATAAACTCCTTGCAGATGCACACAATGCCTATTCCTTAGTGAGTGATAAATTCTTCTTAATATACTATGATTGTAACATTTCAAAAGCTTGCAAATAAATAAACTTTGCCAAGGTTAAAACAAAACAAAAAAGCAGCATGAAGAGACTGTAAAATCTCTGTACTCCTAAAACTCTCATGTTTGTAACCTTACATTGGGTGAAACGATCACCATAGGCCAATAGTTTTAATGATACTGCCTCTTGCTCCTCTAACAGCTCTCTGAAATTCTTTCTTATATTCATTCTTGAGATATTTGCCATTTCTTTTCTTCTTTATATTTTCCAGTTTGAACTGGCATCCAGTTTGTTTTCTTCTTTCCTTTGCTGTTTAGTAGTCTTTTTTCATATTCATCCTAAACAATTTTGATTTCATTTCACAGTTCTTTTTGTTCCTTTGGCTTCCTATCAATGAGACTCAGGACTGAATCAGAAAGTGATACTGATAGAAGAGAATATTTGTAGCTTAGTGTTGAACTGTAAGGTCTTTGGTGCTCTCTTAATTAATTAACTCCTTAATTTTTTAACACATGGACAAAATCCACCATAGTTTCAACTGGAAACTGTGAGCATCCTAGATTAAGCCAACTCCAAAAATGCCAAAGAATTGCTGGAGGCCTGGCATTCAGATAAAACAGCCATCAACAGACACATAGAAGTAAACAACATCTACATATCATGGAAAAAAGACAATCAAACGGTTGAAAAGGCCAAAACATCTCCTCACCAACAACACCCAAGTAAGCAGAGATTAACACTAGACCAACAATCAAGAAGCAAACAATATCCCAATCAAGGAACTACCAACAAAGACAAAAAGCTAACAATAAAAAAAACTCTAATCAATGAGCCACCAAGAACATTCCCATTCATACGGACAGGGCAAGCCATTGGTATATAAAAATAAGAGTAAATCATACCCCCTTCTAGCACTGATCATGTTACCTAGTTTGGTAATGAAATGTCTGCAAGAAAACCATCAAACTCCGAAAACACCAAGGACTCCTCAGAAAATGATTCCTGATATTGTCCTTGAAATTAGTCCATATATCCTTAAGATCATATTGCAAAAAAATGGTTTGCTTTCTATTTTGGCTTGAGGTTAACTTGAAACCTGAACATGAGCAGTCTGTGATCTGTTCCACAGTCAATCTTTACGGAGCTATTCAGAGACGTCAGCGAAGACCTCAAAGAAAACATCCTGAAGCCAGTAGGAAAAAACAGATGCTGAATATGTATTGAAGTCAAAGTGAAAAAGTATGAGAAAAGGACTGTCTTCCCCCAACTCCATGTGATGTAAGAGGGTGGAGGAGAAACCATGGATAAGCTTGCAAGATTCTGCCACTATAGCCTCTTAATAAAATATAGTTCTTATCTTCCTGTGAAGCTAGTTTCCTGATTTGGTC